AATTGTAGCAACTTGATCACTGAGCTTTGCAGTTCTCTGCCGCAGACAGACTGTTTGTCGTTGAGTGAATAATGCGAATGCGCGGTTTATCTTGGAGAAACATTCTAACCACGCATGCTCATGCAGCAGGTTCTCGGTCAGAAAGCGTAATGGTCGTACATACAAACAAGCAGAATAATAGTATAGATTTTTGGGATAACATATTACATGTTTTGTCAAAACATTGGTCTGTCTTCTACATACCATACTCTGAAAGATTATATACATACCTGATCTGTTCTTTAATTTGCTACTCCCACTACAACAGATTAGTTTCACTGAATTCACAGCTTATCATTGCTGCTTGGAAGGTCAAAGTAAATAAATAAAGTTGGCCTCATAGAGTAGTTGAATATAAACAGGCTGTTTGGTTTAGAAAAACTCTGCATTCTAAACTAAACAAATTGTTAGAGTTATTGTTCATCAACCATAGTTTGAACTTAGAATAATACTGACAATCAATTCATGTAATGTAAAAATATCATCAATTTTTGTTTTTTAATAAAAACAATCATGAGTTGATTTGACAAAAATGACCATGTTTTGATGGTAACATTGAAAACAATAGAAAATCTGCTAAACCATTTTCTCATACAAAACTTTGCATAAGTTTAGAATTTGATTTCTTGCATCAAAAAATAGTAATAAAATTCTCAAAATGTTTTCTCAAAGCAAGGCTACTTTTGCTCAGGACCATTCCGACCTTGATTTGCATTGTAAGAATGGTTTCCAACATGCTCTTGACATCTAGGGCACTCTGTGCACTTAGTAGAAACAACAATGAATGCTCTTCAGCTCTTTCTTTCACATTTTTATTGGTTGAGGTTTGACCAGTCATATCTAAACCTGCCAATCATTGAATGATCAAACACAATGAGAAGAACAGCATCTTATTGTTAGTATTCAATTTCTTGTCTTCTTTTGATTGGATTTTAATGTTTTTGGATGCCTTATATTTTCTTAGTACTCTAACTGTAATAGGAACCCTATCATGACTACATCCACAATGTTTGAATTTCATGTAAACATCACACCTTGCATTTGTAAGGGAGACTATGGTAAACATGATTTTCAAAAATTTCCGTTTTTAATTACTTTGGAAACAACAATGAACTTCACCAAAATCTATACCTCAAATGGGAGAGAGAGAAATCACTTTTAAATGTTTTCTCTGCAAGAGGCAAAGCACAATTGTTGTATTGTTTGAAATCTCTGATACTAAATTATCACTGAAAGTGCTTTTTTATCAAAAAAGTCTTTCATTTCTATTCTACCAACTCCCAGTTTAAGGTAAAGATAATTTCAGTGTTTGAAGACTTGCTGTATATACACAATAGCTCACCTAACCTAGTGCAAGCCTATATTGTAAAATACCAAACAAACTTCCTAATGTTTGACAGTATCATAATGGTCCAACCTGCCAGAGAACGTCCCATATTTATTGTATGATTAATGTTAGTTATATATATGACAAAGAATTATTTTCTCACTAAGAACTTTTTGTATGCTGCTGTTACAGTTGACAGTAAAAATAATGAGTTTTCTGAGAGATAATGTGTGCATCTTTAGACCTGAGATTTTCATAATAGTATTCCTATGTATTGCAATGATGTATTTGTATACAGAAACTAGTCACAACTCTAACTTTGATTTATGATAATCAAGGAATTTGTGTAAATATATTTATTAAGAGAATGGTAAGATTAAAAAAGGAATGTCAGCGACTGATAAAAGTTCTAGAGTTTCTTAAAAAATAAAAGTTTAAAATTTTGGTAATAATAGTGAGAGTATTTTTTATGAACAAAAACACTGCCCTTTTTACATTCTTCCCACAAATAGTGCCGTTTCTTATCTCTACGAGTTTGATATAATTACTAGGAAGAACTGAATTTTTCAGAATTCGAGAACTAACATTGTTATAAAGTAAGCTACTAAAGTGGATCATAGAATAATGGGATTGATATCTCGTATTTAAAGCAATTTAGACCTTAAAATTATTTTTCTAACTTACCCTAATTAATAGACAAAAAGTTTAGAAATTTGTTCAGAAAAAATAAGTAAGAATGTTATTTCCAGTAAGTGATTTTATTTGAAGCTTCTGAGAAGTTAAAAGTGCATCACTGATAGCTTCGTAAAGGTGTTGTAGTCAACCAAGATGGACTTAAGAATGAGGGGTCTGAACATGGCTTTGTGGTTAGTATATAAGAGTGGAGATCCAAGGTCCTTAACTGACAGTTATTTCTGCTATTTGTTTAAGATTAACCACTTCAGGTGGTGGACAGAAGTTGAATATTAGAGATGGTCTTGCCTGAACCAGAGGGTTCTCTGACCTGGCTGTTTTTCCATAAGGTGTCACTTAGCTGAAAAATAAACACACAATTCAGAAATTAAACTCAGGATTGCACCTGTAATTCAATTAATCAGCAAAACATGTGTAAACATATGTTGTATGATAAAATTATTTTTTAATAATTTTAAAACAATATATGTAGTCGTGCATTGATTTATTAGATGTTTATTGTGTTTGTCTCTAATCTGAATATGTTTTTTTTATAAACTAATATATATTTTTTACCTACAGGTAGATGTATTATTATTCAGTTGAGTACTGATTTATTATTATATAAATATTTTTCTTGCTAAACTGAATGTTTTCCCAAACTTATGTTTTTTAATTTTCAGGTTTCTCTTGTAGATGTGGGGTGATCTTTTTTGCAGTTTATATAGATACTCAGATGAACATAATTGTTTGTTTGACTATAAAATGATGGGAGCTGAAGAAATCAGAAAAAATAATTCTATCATCATTGAAGATAAAGTTAAAAACTACGAAGTAAAGAATGCACTACAGTTGAATTGGTGAAGAGGAAGAGAGATGTGGAATCGGTTTTTATACATAAAAACACCTCATTTTGCATTCCTATGAAACTTGAAAATTATGTATTTACATTGAAATACAATGTATTCTATAAAGAAAACTAATACCTAAAGCTTAGACATCAAGAAACTTGTACTATTGGAAAAAAATAACATAAATTTGTGTAAATGTTGTATATATGCTCTTTCATGGAATCGAAATATTTGAATTTTTTTTTTAAGTTGAGTTTAATAACAATTGAATAGTTTAGATATTTTTGTAGTGACAGTTTGCCCTAATGGATCTTGAGTCATGTGTCATTAAGTTTTGTTATAGTAATTCCTGTGCAAAACAAGTTACTCATTGTATGTCCTGAAGTTGCAGTTTGTAGTAGTTTATTGTAGATTAGAATTATTACTTTGTAGTAGTTTATTGTAGATTGGAGTTATTACTTTGTAGTAGTTTATTGTAGATTGGAATTATTACTTTGTAGTAGTTTATTGTAGATTGGAATTATTACTTTGTAGTAGTTTATTGTAGATTGGAATTATTACTTTGTAGTAGTTTATT